CAACCAAAGAAAATACTAACCTTAGAATTAGCGTAGTAATTGGTATAATATCCCATAATTAGTATAATAACCTGAAAGCTGTATAAATAGAAGAAGTGTATTTTATCGATATATACATGTTTATAAATAATATTCAAAAATAAAATCATATTGATTAATTATCAAAAGATTTATACTAATACTTTATAACATTTATGTCAGGGCGTCTTATAAAATCGTTTAATAAAATCTTTATGTTAATAATAATAATAATAATAATAATAATAATAATAATAAAACTATATTATAAGATATAAAAATGAAAACTAACTAAAATTATTAGCATTAATGTCTTAGATATAAAATTATGTTATAAAAATCTATTATTTAAACTAAAATTATATATAGTAAAGCTTAATGCTAATGTCATCGTAGTTATTGTTTGATTTAATTATTAGCATAATTAACTAAACGTTAATCATATCTAGTAGTAGTTAAAAAAAAACAATTTAATTAAGTATAACATAACAATAAACTTAGTTTGAAAAAAACAAGCATAATAAATAATAAAATCGATACTAACCAGATTTTCTAAAAAAAGTTTATTAAGTCAGTTGATTTTTTTGTGACTTTTTTGCTATTTTTTGTTCTTCACTTTTGCAATTTTTTTGTTCTTTACTTTGTTGTAATAACAATCTCTCGAGCTCGATGTCCAGTTGTTATACGTTTTTAAGACTTTTCAACATCTTGTTTATAAATTTTAAAAGTTGCTGTTTTCCCATTTAAAAAGTCTTTCAAATCCTTTCTTATTATTTTGTATATTTTCATAGAATAAATTATATTTAGATGGATCCTGTAAATTAAATGCTGATTCTAATTCTGTAACAAGCTTCCATAATGCATCTTGTCATGATTTTATATTATGTTTACTATGTATTAAAAAATTATCTCCTACATATTCAATAAGTAATAAATTTAATCTTTCATGTTCTCTTGAAAAGATGATATTTGTAACTTAAGATTATCAGTATTTTCTAAATACTGACCAATATTTTGCTTAACATATTTTACTTCAAATCATTCTAATGTCTCATTAAATGCAAATAGTGTCCAAATCATGTAAGATTGACAGAGTTTATATGCTTGTATAATATTTTTAGTTTTGGATTATTTAAAATAAGTAATATAATTTGATCATCCAGCAATAAGAAATAATGGAGCAAATACTTTTAGATTTTTTATTTGCATTTCATAATTTCCATGTCTTATTTCTAATTAATAACTCAACTAGGAACTAGTTCATTAAAAAAATAAATATCAAACTCTTAGTATATTATTTTCTTTATTTAAAAATCTATTAATGAATAATTCTTTTTTTAATAATATTAAATATTGCAATGTCTATTGCTACTCATATTGATTTTTAAGTCATTATATATTATTTGATAATTAATAATCTTTTTTAACTTATATCATAAAATAAGTAATTAATTATGGGCAAACATGAAACTGTTGTCATTTGTCAAATAAACTATTTATTAAAAAATTAAAGTAATTTAACATTGGTATTGATATCACGCTTTCTATTACTACTGTCACTATTGTTATTACCGTTACTATTTAATATTAAAATACTGTAATTTGATTGTTTAACATTAACGTTAACGTTAATACTATCATATAATTGCAATTGGTTTAAACTTGTATCAGTACGTATACGTATAGCGATAGTACTATATATATCGATATATGAACCGGTATTGTTATTTATAACGATATACCAATTTTAGTTACATTAAACGTACGCATATGTTACTTTTTAACACATTAAACTGTGGGTAAATTATTATCGTTATCATTATTTAATTTTTTGATTGCTGATCTTTGTCAGGTGATTAAATTTGTAACTTTAGTTTTAACTTACGATGGACTAAAATGTGACATTTCTATCAAAATATAATTTTTACTACTGAATATTAAATACTATACCTTTTGTTCTTGAAATTTGTTTATATTTGTTAGAAAGATTTGTTTGTAAAATGATGACTTCTCTTAGAACTACATGTATAAAAAAAACCAATACGCATTTTTTCATATAAAAACTCGACTTGATGAAGATCAATTTCATAAGAAAATGCCTCCTCCTGTTGGGGACAATACGTACGTAGTATCGATGATATGCTGATACGTAGTTGTATCTCTTGTTTATGTAATCACTCTTTAGAATCTTATTGGTAAATTACATATGCTTCAATTAGTGCTCCAACCGGGTTAGGTCCAATCCGTGATCCGACCCGGAACGCACATTTCGGGTCGGGTCAGATTGTGGTCAAATCCGATCCGAAATATTCAGATCAGCCTAAAAATCGTTATTTCTCGTTCAATTTTAAACGAAAATTTGTGGGTATATACACAATTACATTCCGAACACTACTTAGACACAAAATACAAGTGTCTTAATAAAAGTAAAAGTTATTAACTAAAAACTATTTTACGATTTTCGGATCAAACCCGATCCGTATCCGACCCAACCTGAAATTATCGGTTCGGGTTGACCTCAAATCCGATCCGATCCGACCTGACCCGAACAGAGCTTTAGCTTCAATCTTGTAAAAGTTATCATTACGTTTCATTACAATCCCAGATAATTGCAAAGTTCAAAATCACAATCCCGTTTGGCTGCACAGGAAAAATACATGAGCTATTTCTATGAGTAATACACCGAGTCAATTACGTACGTAGTTCAAATGAGATGACACAAGGTGAACTTTTTGTGAGAATTACAGTATTTGATTACGAAGTTGATCCAAATACTGTAGAAAAATTGGTTTAATCTATATTAATATGGAATGAACTCCTAGAAAATTCCGCTGAGACACTTTAATTAAATCATCTAAAAACTTCTGTGTATGAGCAAATAATCAAGAACTAAGAAAACTATCTGGCGTTTTTTTTGAAATAATACAGAAATAACTTTAAAGCGAAAGATAAATATTCCAATTTGAGATTGAAATTAATACGATGTTATTTTTGCAAACGCTACACTAGCGACGTTTAAGGTGGGCTTCTTTCAAATTTTTTTGATTGTGTTGGATCTAAATTTTTAGACAAGCTTTTAATATCTCGTAATCAATTTTTTACAAACTAGGAATTCCTACTTACTTATATGTCTCATTAAAAGTCTACCCCGGCCGGTAAGTCTCGATTTCTCTGGGCTTTACTTTTCCCATTTTATCTTCCTACTGACCAAGTGGGCGGCGGCATTTCGGTCGTATTTATTTTACTTTGTGAGCAGTAAAACCTAACTCTTACTTAATTAAAAAGTAATGACAAATGTGAATTCGGAGCTATCTGTTCACATCAATTCCTTTCATAAAAGGTTTTGTTACCATTTTTTGGAAAATAAAATTTAAATATTGTACGATAAAATTTTTGCATTCAATAATTAGATTTTCTTTTCATAAAATCTAATGGATTGTTATTATATAGCAAAGTGGTTACTATAACGATAATACATTACTGTATTTTCAAAAAACCTCGCCCTATCTTTGTCAACTTTATTGTTATTAAATGTATACGTGCCGATTATAAATTTTGTTGAACGTCAGTCGTACATGTATGCTATACTGTTATATCTCCTCGAAAATTTGTTCAACCGGTGAAGAGATCACAACATGTTAATTATGAGTTAGACTGAATGATCTACTAAAAGAGGAGTTCTCTTAAAGTTCTAAAGGTCTCCTATGATGATTTTTAATTACTTTAATTAACAAGTAGGATTTATTGATACGACCTACAAAAAAAATCGATGTTCACAAATATCAAAAAGCGCTTAAACAAAAAAGCGTTGGACTTATTGATGTGGTCAACAAGATACTATAATTCCAAAATCGGGGTATGGCTTATTTATAGGTCTTCTACTACTTGTACACAAGCTTTGAAGATGATCAAGAGAAAAGATCTGTTAACAAGTATATTTTACAAGTAGGCACTTTTATTAAATCAGAGCATGAGCTTTTTCTACTTGAAAGAAGCTCCTTATAACAATCATTCAACTATACTAATTACATATTTCGTTCTATAGACTTAAAAAAAATAGAAGCAAAAATATCTGCTAGAAATTAATCAAATACTAAAAGTCGGTAAACATACGTATAATGTCTCAGTTCTGTAGCATGGTGTTTTTCTATATTGAAATTAAATTATTGTTATATTATAAATAAATAAATAGCACTTGAAAAAATCTTCCTACCAGAATTCTATCTTTTCGACTCCATCAACACACATTTTATTGAGTCCTTCTGTGAGTTTATTTATAATGTCTTGCTTCTGTTTTTTGATTTTTCATGCATAATCTCTTTGCATGTTTTCGAGATGTAACTTTTCCACCTTTCTTGAACATTTCTTGCTTGTTAAATATAAAGTAAATAATGAGAATATGATTGTCCCAAGTAGCAATAACTATTCCGTTTAAACTCAATAAACACGGATTGGGGTTACAGGATAGTAGTAATCATAACTGGTTAAAAATTCTTAACTGGTTAATCATATATTTTTTGTGGTTAACTATTATTAACTGGTTAACAAATATAGTAATATTTCCATATATAGTAATTTAATTGGTCAATAAAAATAATAAAGAACTTGTGAAAAGCACATGTAAATTAAATTATATGCATTTTGTAAAAGTATCAATCATCATAATTATATTTAATAAAAACTATTATTTAGAAACAATTGTAAAAATAGTCGAATTTTGTTGTAAAAATAAAAGATCCGAAACAGTAGTTGGATCAAGATGATTACGTTTCTCAGTGAGAATATTACCTGCATTAGAAAATAATCTTTCAGCCAGAACTGAACTTGCAGGAATAGACAAATAACAATGAGCAATTTTTGCTAATTGAGGAAAAGTATTATGATTAACTTTCCACCAATGAATTGGATCATTTTCTTCGGTTGGAGAAAGAATAGGAATGTTCATATAAAGATCTAATTCAGACTTAGTTTCATGTATTTCACATATTCCAAATTTCTCAAAAAATTGTAACATAGGAGATGATAAGTTGGTTACAGATGAAGAAGATTCAGCTTTCGATGATGAATTAATATAATTATGAATAAGAGATAGTGCATGTTCTTTTTGTGAGAATGAAACAAAGACAAGTGATTTAAAATATAAATCCATTAAGGATGTCAAAAGTCCAAGATCTTGAGGATCTTTCCAATGATTTTTCATTGAATTAAGAATAGCATTTCGAATTTGAATAATGGGTTGATAAATAAGCTGTTGAGTATTATATTGAATATGTTGAAAAAGATTTTTAATTGTATGATAAAGAATAGATATAGTTGAATAAGTTGCATTTCTTAAAAAGTTAGTAGCTTGTGCAAATGGATGAAGAACAAATACTAGTTCTTTAATACCATCCCACTCATTATCTGTCATATATAATGTGGCTAGATTATTTCCATCTTTACAGATTTTAGCATTTTCATCTATTTGCATTGCTTGATATATTGTTTGAATTGCTGGTTTTTTTCAAAATAAAAAGTCTTTCAAGAACTTTAACTATTGAATTCCATCTCGTATCAATATTTTGAATTGGAGCAAGTGCTTCTTTAGTAGATTGAAGAACTTTTTGTATTTGAAAAAAATGACTTTAGTACTTGTCATGATAAACAAGAAAAAAATTGAGTTTTTTGACTTTTTTTAATAATTCTTGACTGGAATTAATTCATAATCCATCAGTAACTGCTAAATGAATAGTATGTGCACAACTAAGTAGGTTGATAATTTGTAGTTCCCAAAATGCTTTCACTATCTTTGCATCATTATCACTTATACAAGCAATAATTTGTTCTTGTAGATTAATATGCCAATAATTAAATATATGTTGTAATTTCATCACTATATTTATATCAGTATGATTATATAGTATTTTCTCAATTGTAAGTAAAGCTTGCTGAAGTTCAAAATCATTCATTATCCAATGAGCAGTTACACCAATATAGAATCGATGAAATCCAGTTCACAAATCAGTTGTAAACTCATTTTCATCATGATTTCATCAAGTAAACCAGCTAAAACTTAACGTAAGAATTCAACACTTTGCACAATCAAAATTTTGATTGTATTATCACACAGAACTTTATAGTTAGAACACAATGCAGCCAAAAAGCCTTGAATTCTTTATTTTCTAATAGTATAAATGGTTGCAAACTATCAATTATAAATTCTAAAAGACGGAAGTTTGCTTGTTCCTGTTTATTCTTTGAGAGAGACTTAATTATTGCAGTACACTCTTTGATTGTTTATTGTTTTTGTTCTTTTTTTTGGATGGATAGTGTATTTTTGTTATAAAATGAACCTGACCAAGATGATAAGAATAGGAGGATGTGGAAGTATCCAAAGAAAGAACTACATTACATCCTGTAATTTTATATTTAGCAATTCTTTCATTTTCATCTCTATTAAACCACTTCCACACCCAGCTTGTATTTGAGCGCTTTCTTTTTTGTTTAATGATAGATGTTTGTGAGGAATGGGTAGCAATTGTTGATGTAGATATTTGCGAAGAAACAACTGAGGGTGCATATTCATCTTTAGTATTATTTTCAGAGTTTTCCAAATTATTAAAGTCTATTACTGACTCATGAACTTCAAGTCGTTGATTGATAAATGCTAAATCAAGTGAAGAAGGAAGAGAACTTATAGTATTTTGATCCGTAATATTAGAATTGATGATACGTATTATGATTTGTGATATTTTCGTTTGAATTTATAGTGCTTTGGTTGGTGGTGATTTGGTTATGCATGATTGTTTGCGTAATTGATGTTGTTGGTTCTTGACGTTCATATAATGTGTTTGCTAATTGGGTTGTAGTAGAAATAGGATATAAGAAGTTGGCCTCGGCATTTTGATGTTCGTTATTAATATTATTGGTATTAAAGTTTTCATTAATGGGATCATATGAATAAAATGCATAACCTGCTGCTTGTTTTTGTTTTTTTGGACGTTTATCGTTATTCATTATTTAGCATAATTGTGTTCAAATTTTTGAGTTGGTTTATCATTATATACTGATATGTACATATACGTATAATTAAAATCTAGTGATCTGATTGGATCCGCAAGTTTGAATCCTTATTTAGGGATGGTATCTATATTTAGACATATAAGAAATTTTTAACCGGTTAACCGTTTAAAAATTTTCTTATACAGTTAATCGATTAAAGTTTTCTTATATAGTTAAACGTTTCTAAATAGGGATATATTATATATCCTTATTTAGAAACGGCTAACCGTATAAGAAAACTTTAACTGGTTAACTGGTTAATTGACAGTTAACCGGTTAAGAGTTAACCGATTAGAATCACTACAGGATAAGTACAACCTCCAAAACGATTATAAAGAATTTCTGACCAAATAAACGAACAATGTTATACAACAAAAGTGGAGGATGAAGAAAGTGGAAGGTGAAGGTAAAGTGAAAGATGGAGGTGAAAGTGGAAGTAAAGTGGAAGGTGGAATTAAACAAAGAAAGTAAAAGTAGGACAAATAAGACAAAATAGACAAAAGTAGTTGATGCCAGACAAATAGTCGATAAAGTAAAAACGAAGGCACCCCCCCACTCCTTATATATATTGTAACGATCTTCTGTGTTATGATTAAATAACGCGTTTTCTGTGTTATGAGTAAATAACGCGTTTTCTGTGTTATAATTAAATAACGCATTTTCTGTGTTATCTGTGCCATGTTATTTCCTTTTCGAGACCTAATATGGGTTTAACCTTTGATATAGGCCACAAACCACAAATCAACCCTAATTTGGGAATACGATAAAGCGTTGTATCCACGTGATCAATCACCAGTCAATGCTTTATAAGGTCAGGATAAGGGTTAGGGTTAGGGTTAAGCTGGAGTAAAGGTTATACCTAAAATTGTCTTCCCGACATTTTTAATTTGTCTTTCAAGCCAGGTTTACCCATTCGTTTTCACATTATTCGCCTTTTTAATTTTCTTGTTTTGCCGGGTTGATCAAAATTTGTGCATTTTTATTGGTGATCAACCTCCTCATTGGATGGATTACCTGAAGGTACAACGCTTTATCGTATCCCCTAATTTGTGACATGTCCAAAGCCTGGTCCATCCGATAATCAGTCCGAAACACAAACCAATAAGGATGCGTAAATTTTAATCAGCCCAGCGCAAAATCTATTTTGGAGCACTATTAAAAAATGTTGGGAAGATAATTTTACATGTAAATTTTGTTCTCCACTCTAACCTAACCCTATCCTAATCTTAGAATCAACCTTAAATTGTAATACCCATGTGGTCACGTGGATAAAACGCTTTAACAGATCTCCAAATTTGGAAACCGGTGACTTATTACAAAATTTGGTGGTAGATTGTGATTGGTAACGTTGAGATATTTTTATCTATCATTCTTAATTCCATACTGTTTATACAGAGGTTTTGATGTCCGTTTTTCTGACTAACTCAATTAGGGTTCAAGAGCAGTTATCTCTTTGTTATGGTCTAGCCACTGGGTATCCTTCCAGTCTTTGGGCTGTTTGTGATGAGAGTTCGATTCTTTCCTAGGTCGTGCGGCCTTTGGTCTATCATTTGTCATTCCTTTGGCTTAGCTCAGTGTGAATAGCCCTCGCTGTCGGCTTTAAACTTTAGCGTAACAGCAGTTGTTGGGGGTTCGATTCCCTCCCTACGTATAGCCCTCGCTGTCAGCTATAAACTTTAGCGAGAAATTTTCGGTGCAATTATTCGGGGCGATTGCATCATGCTTTTAAGAGCTAATAGATTCAATCCTATAAATTACCTTGCTTCGGGTTATCTGTGATTTAGCCATGGGTACGTGAGTGGCGAGGCCCGCGAAAGCTTCGTAAGTGCAGGAAAATGATAAATCACAGCCAGAAGTCAGTAATCGGTTACAACGCCCTTCAGGCAAGTGGGGATGGCAATTCAGCCTTCGGGCTCTTAACTGTGAGTACCCCTGATTAGATTCAAACCTAGAGGAAGTGTTCGGGAGAGTTTAATTCTCTGTAGTCTTAAAGTTGTTTTGGAACCACTCTTAATTGTTTATAATTCTCTTCTCGTGGATTGGTCCTTTTGAGAAACTCTATTTCTATCTTCTGAAGACTAGTTATTCTGGTCTAATGTTCATTACGCGTTCATTTATATGTTCGTTCTTATATTATATTTTCTGATGGTTCAGGCTATTTCTGGCCAAATGATGTTCAGCCCACCACAGGATCTTGTGTGGATAATCTCATTTTTGAGATGGAGGTTCAATTCCTTCCAAGATCGGGCTACTGGTTTTATAGGCTGACACATTCCAAATAAATATGATCGTTTGGTCCGGGGTTTTCGTCAACGTCTAAGTCTGGTTGCGTTCAGTGATTAGTGTATTATTGTCGTTTCTCCCTCCTGGTATCCGGAAAATCAAATATCTTGTATGGGTTAAAGTCCTCTTGGATGACCAATTCACACTACAACAAAAACGGAAACAGGAACTTCAACTGTTGCTCGTATTTACAAAATCCGTGTCATCATCATCAACAATAACAACCGAAATACGTTCTTCAAGAAAGCTTACTCGGATATGCTAATTACTCTACAGAGCATGTGTAAATATGCTGACCATTAACACGGAAAAACGTATGCATTTGAAAATCTGAAAAAGGATTCCCATTAATCTATGTACATGTATTGACGTTGAAGATGTACGAAAGAAATATCCAACCACAGCGTAAGTTTTCTCGTTAACAACGACGGAGTCTCGACGTTTTAAATATTGTATACTATTTTAATTTTTAACAAAAACAATCTTTCAAAGAGCATAAAACGTCCTTGCTGGAAGAGGAAAGATGTCATCAATCAAGACGAAAAGAATGAGTCAAGGCTGATATAGACATTATCGTTATGCAAAATCTTCTAAATACATGTACAGTATACATATCCGATTTATTTTACTCCTAGCAATTTATACATTAAATATTTTGTCGGCTTTCCATTTGCCTTTAATACTGCATTAATCCTCCTTGGTATTGAGGCAATAACCTCTACAAAAACAAAGACATCAAGTTTCTCCCATTCCTCCTTTAGCGCGACCTTAAGTTCATCCACAGTGCTTGGAAAGACCTCATAATTTTGAACATTGTCCTTCAACACCTTCCAAATGGTTTCGATTGGATTCAAGTCTGGCGAATTTTCCGGCCAGTCGTGATTTTATTTTCCATCAGCCAATTCTTGATTTCCCCACGCCACGGTATGGATTGGTGCGTTGTTTTGTCGAAAAATCGCGTAGTTTCCCGGATTACGTTCTAAAATTTGCTTTCAAGTTTTCAAGGTAAGTATTTTTTCGTTATTTTTTTATATTTATCGTAAAAAATCAACGGTCCTTTTAATCCTCCCGCGAAACACCCCCAAGCCATTACGGATTTTCGACCACTTTAAAAGTGGATAACAACCAAGTAATGTTATACTTCTCTCCTGGATGCCGCAAAACTCTTAGTTGTCGTGACAGCTTCCCAATTTCCACACTCGTCTCATCAGAAAAAATAACTTTCGCCCAATGATAAGCATTTTTATGCTTACTTTCACCATCACTTAAAACGAGCATACGCATGTATTTCTGAGAGAAAGGGTTTCTTTGCTGCAATACGTGAATGAAGTCCGGAGTTGTGCAGTCCATTTGCGGAGTTGACAAACTGCAGTTAAGACTTAAATTTCGCGAAGCGGCGCACGTCGCTTTTCAGTAGCTTCACATGAGTAAGTCAAGTGTCTAGTTTCATTGCCGTTGTAACAAATTGAAGATCGATAATTATTATTTTGCAAATAGGTTTGTTGTTGTTTCTAGACGTTACTAAGAGCTGGCGGTCTTCCGGAACGTGGCAATAAAATCGGGTATATAGAGTAACAGTTCGATATGATAATATATGCATTTACCACCTGTATAACTATATACTCTATAGATGCTGGGTATTAATCATGGTTTAAACATTTTGATTGGTCGAAAGGGAGTATGGGGTTAATCATTTTCTAACATCTAACAACGTGGGGATATCGAATATTATCATATTAGAACGACACCTTGTTCAGCTACACAATCATCGCAGATTATATGTATTTATTTCTCTGAGAATCCTAAACTATCATTGAGTAATGCAATATATGATCCATATGTCAAAACGTTTACATATAATACTGGATTCAGTACCTGGATACTAATCAAGCACACCTCTCCGAACTTGATTTGGAGAGGGATAAATAAAAAATGGAGGTGTATCTTGATATAAATCCACAAAGAAGATTACCCGTAATACTTCTCAACAAAACGGATATCAGAGTGAGAACTAAATGCAGAGTGCTGCTGTTAGTTTGATCTATTTTATTTAAATACAGTCAGAGCACATTGCGATTTAATGAAATCGCGAGATCACTATCTAGAAATCGCGTTTAATTTAACGATGTCTCTTTTTAACGATATCTTAAAATTTGATTACCGACTCATCGGTAAATCGAGCCCTGACTGTAATGTCAGACATAATTTTTCCTTACTTTTGCGTAATTTGATATATATCAATATATGATGTAATGGTATTTGTTCTATAATTGATAATTGATATATGATGTAATGGTATTTGTTCTATAATTGATAATTGATATATGATGTAATGGTATTATAATTGATATATGATGTAATGGTATTTGTTCTATAATTGTGGCGCATTGTAAATTGCAATTTGCAGAGAAAGTACATCTTTTTCCAAGTACATGTTAGAAGAATCGATTTCCTTAGTAAAATAAATAATTAGTATAATTATCTATTATAATTTAATAAATATTCCCGTGGATTAGATTATATACATATATAAATGTACACTGCCTTTGTTGTATTATTCGTTATACTTTAAAACATAATACGTATTATAAGTTATAGTCCTATCTCACATTTAACCATCGTGAAAACAAGAAAAACTTAGAAGAGTAGAGAAACGTCTATCTACTAAAAAAACAAAAGCGACTACTTGTAATCACAAGAAAGCTTCGTTCGTATTTGCGTCTCCTTTTGTGTAATGAAGGAAATGAGCTATAACAAAGGAAAGGAGCCAGAAGAGGTTCCACAGTGATTATCTACAACTACAAGAATGAATGTCTACTACTCAACTACGTCGCCATTTTCTGACTATTTGGGAGCGTCCAGAAGCAGAAAATGAAGAGAGAACCGAAATTACTGCTAAGCGATTAACAATTGATCGGAGAGGCTAACGCTAATATTCAAATAGTCTTTTTAAATATACCAAAGAAAATTCCGCCCCATATAATAATAATAATAATAATAATAACAAGAATAACAATAGTATTAATAGTATTAATAGTATTAAGGAATGTTTGTATAGTATCTATATCTTGGGCAACTTCTTCTTTTTGGACGTCGTCCATACTCATTTTCTCGAACCGGTTTGTGAGCTGACTTAGCACTTGCTGCTGTTCTTGATGTTTCGTTTTTTTAATTCGCAGTCTTTTGGACTGGTTTCGAGATGTGACTGGTTGTTTACCTTTCTTGTTGGGCATTATTGAAATTTTTAACGAGAAAAATGAATTAAATAATATATATTATATATCATTTAAAAGTATTACATCATAGCGATAGTGATATTATTATATATTATATATCATTTAAAAGTATTACATCATAGTGATATTATTATATATTATATATCATTCAAAAATTATTACATCATAGTGATATTACAGATTAAATATTGATGTTTAACATGTGTTTCAGATGATATAAATCATATTAGCGGCAAAATCAGAAGTGCAATATTATTTAATTCAAATTCTTTGTGGGCTATTATAATGAATAACTTTAAAGAAATCACGGTTGGTACAATTCGCATCGGAAAGTAATGGTGGTCAGATTTTTTCAAAAATATTTTATTAATAATCACAAAAAGAAAAACTATTTTCAAAATGCACTTGAGTAGGGCAATGTACCCACATATAACATTAATATTTAGTATGCTCCTCCTTCCGTGTCAATGTAGACTTGAACGCATACTGCTGGCACTGCTAAAGATCACCTCATCCGGAAGATTCTCCCACTTCTCCTCTACTAACTACAAAAACCTCCTGTGACACCTTTTTTTGCGCAACAATTTTTTTAACCTTTTTTTAACACTTTGCTTTGAGACGTGATCAAATATTTTGATTGGATTAAGGTCGAAGGTGTATGGCAATCATAAAAGAGCCGTTCTGGCAGCTAACGAGATCATTACAGATGTCATTTAAAGTGTATTTTGAGTCATTGTTTGCTGGAGAATCCAACCCCAACAATCATACAACATTCCATGTTTTGTGTAAACATATACAATTACCCTCACATATGAAGTTTTAACGGGTCGGGTGTTTCACCGTTGGTGCAACAGTTTTTTTAGAACGCGACCATGCCAGACAGGTGTTTCAAACCTTGCGCCAGTTATAATCGAGATGATTGTGTGCCCATTGAAATTAGTACTCTTTCGCTTGCTAGGTGAGAAGAGAAACGCGTCTCGACAAACAATAATATAACCAAGTCTATGAAGCTCGTCACGAACAGTTTGCACATCTTCATGACTTTAATTTCACATAATAACAATAATCCAAAAATTCCTCAAAGAAAAAGTAAAAATAAACTAAAGAATAGAAGATAAACTATCAAAATAACCAACAAATCTTCACGCTCTCCAGCTGTTACAAAGCTGGTGTTGACTATTTTGTTCGCATTATTTCATCATAGTTTTTTCTTATTTCATCTTAGTTTTTTCTTATTTTATCTTAGTTTTTTTCTTATTTCATCTTAGTTTTTTCTTATAATCTTGAAGTTTAGACATTTTTGATATGACGGGATGAACTTTTGAATGCCTGGTCAGAATCACCCGTCGATAAAAAAAACTAAATTAATTGTCACCCAAACCCACATTTTTGCTTTATTTGTGGTTGCAACTGCATGATCAAAATCACCCGTCGGCTAAAACCAAATTGAATTAACAAAAAGGCTTTGTCATCTGATCCCTATATGATACTGAAGCTAACCCGAGCCAATTTAACTCGACAAAGCTCTGACCTTATCCCTCGTCAGGAGCTGGTTACTTAATCGCGTGATAAGGCAAACCATATAGGAGCAAGTTGCAACGCTGATCAATTTAGTTGATAGACACTCAATTTATAAAAGTTCATAGAGTTGTTGAAATTGTGGGATTGTTAAAATTTCAATTAAACTTTAGATCGTCAGCCAATCGAATTTGTAATGAAATCACAAGCACATGTTCTACATTTAAATTTTAGATCAACAACATTTGTGTACGCTTTTCTGATCCCAACATTATTATTATCGTTATATGTTCAGTTCACAATACTACTGCTTTGGATGTTTTGAATATCATAAAAATCAAATAATAAATAAATGCGTGAAAATTGCTTACAAGTTTAAATGGATCTCTTTTGAAAGATTTACCAATGTTAATATATTGAGAGGGAGGTTTGTTTATTATTCATAAAGCACTGCTATATGATTGGATCTGGTACGACATCCCGAAAACCATAATCCAGACAAGCCATAAACCCGACAAACGAAATCCCGAATGAACAGCATACCGAAAGCACGAAATCCCGAATGCATGAAATCTCGATATTTAAAATCTTAATATTTCACTTTATTAATTCATTGATATATCTGGTATGTCGTCCATTCGAGATGCTTTGCATTCGGGATTTCGTCCATTAGAGATGCCATGTATTCGGGATTTCGTATATCGTGCTTTCGGTATATCGTGCATTTGGTATGCTGTTTTTCGGAATTTTATTTTCGGGTTTATGGGTCGGTATGTTGAACGTTATCGGACTGTGGGACGTGTGAGGAACATAGCTTCCACTGAAAACTTCCATGCTCTAACATGTTTGATTCTTGTTCAACCGTTGGAGTCTACTTATCGCATGAAAATTATCATCATTATACTAATAAAGACAAGTGGTAATTCATTGATAATTATTTAGTTTCTTTCCCCCGTATTTTTAGTATTTATTTTTGTATTTTTTAATTTATCATATACACACCCCTACAATAAATTACTGAAAATCCAGAAAAAAACATAGTAAAATTGAAATTATCTCTATAATGAAAATTTTATTTTTATTTTTTTGTTTTATACAAAATAAAGCTAATAACCTGTTTTTTAACATATTTTTTATAGATTTTTTAAATTTAATTTCAGAAATATTTTGGATTGTAAAGTTAGTTGCACAAATATTTTATAATCAAAATTTAATAATTTGAATTTTTAATTATAAAAAGTTTGTGTAACTAACTTTACAATCTGAAATATTTCTGAAATTAAATTTAAAAAATCTATAAAAAATATATGTATATCATTTGAGCTAGATGGATCTGGCATATGCACGTGACAATTTTCACACTGATCACTTTTTGGCAATTCGTATCAATCAACTTCTTGAAAAAATTATTTATAATATTTTGAATTTGAATATTCTTTAGACTTGAGATAGCACTTGCACTATAAGTTACTTGACAAATCTTACCTATTCCTATTCCTTCATATAATATATAAACTTTTCTAGCTCTGAAAGTTATTTTATATATGTTTACATTAGTAATATCTGAAAGAAGCAATTTAATTTTATTATATACTAATATTCTTGCTGATTGATTATCAATATTATTAACAGACTTAATCTCTCCAATTCAATTTTCATATAATTTATAATAGCAATACCAGCATAAACTCTTCTTTTGTCTAATCTTTATTGCTATCTTAAATAGATTAACTATATTTTGTACCAGATCCAGTTAAAAATATTTCTAAAAAGAATTTAGAAATCTGAATATCAAATACTTTATTAAGTTTACTATTATTATCTTTAATATAAACATATAACTTGTTTATTTCACTTTTTAATTATAAGAAATTTTCTGATTAGACAATAGATTAGTAGATAATTCAGGCTCAGAATAAGAAACCTTCATTTCTAAAATATTCAAATTTGCTTCTTGAGGAGTAGAAACTAATTCTTGATCTCAGAACTTTTTTTTCTTATTTCTCTATCTCATCTCATTATTAATACTTTTCTTATTTTTAAAATTATTTTTCTTCTTTTTTTTCAATGGTATAAAATCTGTACAGATAGATTAATATATATTAGAATTAAATATGTTATCAGATATGTTTTCTGCTTCTTTAGAAGTATCTTTTTGAGATATTTATTTCTGAGTATTATTAGAATTTATTTTGGAAGAAACAAATTGCTTAATAATATCTGTTTTAAATTTGTAGAATTTGTATTATTATCCTTGTCAAAATGATAATTAGTAAGGGATAAAATAGATATTTGTAAAGTTACTAATAATACTAGAGAAATTGAAGATTGCAAAACATAATTAATAGTTTGGTTTTGTTTTATAATTTGTTTTCATTTTGTATTTATGATTTTAAAATTAAAAATTTTTTTATAATTTGCTTTAATTTTTTATTCTTTATTTCAAGCTTAATAACTTATTATTTTGACAAATTTAATTCAGATTGCATATTCAATAATATTTTTTATAAGATATATATTTGTTTAAAACTTAGTAAATAAAAAATTACAGAAAAATCTAAATTATTTTGTATGATAATTTGTTATACTAATTACTTTTGCCAAGAAAAATAATTATAATTAATACATAATATATTCATAATAAGCAATTGGCTATACTATTATTACTAATATACAAAAATATTTTTATTTAACTAATAATCATACTTTAAAAAAATATTTTTAAAGGATCTGATATATTGCTACGGTTACTTTAAATGAAGGATTTCTTCACTATTAGTAAAAGAACCATATGAGTTGGGAGAGAGGAATAGACTAATAAAATTGGTCAGTGCAAAAATAAGTATCTAAGCCTGTGCCAATTTC